AAATATATTTAATTATAAAAATAAATAATAACTTCTTATAATAATGTAACATTAACCGTTTCCAAGGCATTGATAATCCATTGTGGATATTCCTTGTTTGGATATATATCTAACATGTATTGTTGTATAAATTTTGGAAATCTTTGTTCTCTAATACTTTGTCTAATATCGTTCATTAGTTTCATTTGAAATGCGATATTGTGAACAGATAGTAAATGACATGCAACTGTTTCCACTGTCACAATATGATGAAGATAAGCACGGGTATATGTTTTGCATGTACTACATTCACATGAATCATCTATTGGTCTCATGTCTTTACGATACTGAGCTTGTTTTAAGTTGAGTTGACCTGTATGTACTAACGCACAGCCAAATCTCTAGAAAAGAACCACATTTATTAATAAATTGCAGTTTACTAGTTTAGAATTTCACATAAATTTTGATAAATTTACTTCCAACATGAAATGCTTATAATTACCGCTGTTCTTGTAGGAAATACGCAGTCAAACATGTCTATTCCTAAAGCAGAACAAATAACTAAATCGATAGCGAATCCAACGCCCATTAAATAACGTGGCTTATTTTTTGGAAGGATATTTGTAGTGAGGTATACCATTCTCCAAAACTCATCTTTAGATTCTCCACCACTATAAACAATTAATTATAAAATATTTATTTTTACCGAACATGAAACCTGAAGTATTATTACCTTAATCCACCTACAGCATAACCATTGACTTCACGTTTAATTAACTGATTTGCACATTCTGATCTAAGCTTAGAATCAAGACCTCCTTGTACAATTGGGAATATACTTTGTTCATTTGGTCTCTGATGAGCCACCAAACATCTATCTAACCATCTGGTTGTTCTATAGATAAATATTGAATATTAACACTTAGTTTGAATATACTTATACCAAAACCTATAATAATATTTACCTATACATAGCTTCTTCTACTCTTGGTCCTGTTAATGTACTCTTAACTACATCATCAAGTTGCATAATTATATCTGCTCCTATTATATTTTGTATCTGAATAGAATGTTCAGGTGTCAACATGCAATCTGATCCTATGATATTAAAAAATTTTGAATGATTTTTTCTTACATTTTGAGCACAGTAAGATATAAACGCAATTTTATTTTTAAGTTATGGTTACCATTATATGGTGATTTAAATTTAACACCTTCTTCTTTAATTTTAGCAAGTTCTAATAATGATACCATTTGAAAACCACCAGAATCAGTTAATAAAGCTCTTTTCCAATTCATAAACTTGTGTAATCCACCAGCTTTTTGCATAACATTAAGACCCTATTCATTTAAATTATTAAATAATTTATAAACAAATAAATTAATAAATTAATTTTAAATACTTCTCAATAACTGAAATGATTTAATATGAATTTTCAGAAGAAATTGTACATTAAAAGTTCCATATTATTGTTATAAATTAAAAAATTTATTTGAACAGTAATTTTTACTTACAGGTCTTGTTCCAAGATGATAAGTATTTCCAAGTATAATTTGACAATTCAATTGTTCTAATTGTTGAGGTAGTAAACCTTTCAAAGTGCCCTAAAGTATTATTATTAATAGATATAGTATCATTGATTTATTTAAAACTAAAATATTTTACAAATATTTAGAAATACAATAAAATTGTTTTCTGATAAATTATTTGGTAAGAGAGGAGAAATCACACTATATAGTGCAAATAATATCATGATTCAATCTAAGAAAAATTGTAAGTGTTGCATCTTCAATTGCAAATACTCCAGTGCTTTCAGGTAAATCAGGTATTCTCATACGAAATATTATATTTTATTTAATGTTAAACATAATTTAACTTACTTGTGTGCCTACTGGCATAAATACTGGTGTATCTACATGATGATGAATAAGAGTTATTCTTCCAGTTCTTGCTTTTGTTGTTTGGCATTCATAAAATATTTCAAAAAATAATGGTGATTTTATGTTAGTTGCCATTCTTTAAAGTTTAATAGTTTTTTTAACAGAAGGTAATAACAGTACTTCTTTTTTAATATGTGTACAATTAATACAATGTTTATAAAACTGTCATTTACAATCACATTTTATACCTACATTAATAATTCACTGCAAATAAAAAATATTTATAGAACATACTGCTTGTCAAATTACATTGTTAAAAGATATATTTATTTATGGTTTTACTTATAATGTACACTAACAATGTGTAAGTATTTAATTATATGTATCATCAATCTCATCGCGTATAGCTCTATGTTTAAATTATATGAGGTATACATATATTAATATAGCTCTTAGGTTACACTATTAACAATTATTAAACTATAACTATTAAGTGTATGCATAAATTGTGTAAGTTTGGAAAAGACCTCGTGGCCGGTTTGCATTAATTGCGGAGCGTGGACGTTTCACTTGAGAAGATAAGTAAGAAAAGAAACTAGGAACA